AGAAAAATGGGCTCAAGGTCATGATGCTCGCGTGACGACGTTTCTCTGTGGTCCTGCCATCTCTCCCTGCTTAACTTCCAGCGCTTTCGTTGGGACGAGAGAAGAGAGAATGCGATTGCAGCGTGTGACAAATCTTTTTAACTCCGCTCGTGCTGGACGTATTCTTAAAATTTTTGCTGCGTTGAATTCGTAAGGCAATAAGGTCTTCCAGTGAATTCATTCCATGGTTACTCAGAATAGTGTTTCAGGGCCCCTTTAAGAAAAGTCTAGGTCCCAACTGAATCAGCACTAAACTCCACTCTTGCTGGACGTATTCTTAAAATTTGTGCGACGTTGAATTCGTGAGGCAATAAGCTCTTCCAGTGAATTCATTCCATGGTTACTTAAAAAAGTGTTTCAGGGCCTCTTTAAGAAAAGTCTAGGTCCCAACAGAATCAGCACTAAACTTCTAAAGTTAACCAAGCATCATTCAGCCTACTTATTTTCACTTATATTTCAGCAATTCATCGATCCAGTATGCATGGCAGAAGACTGGAAGTCAGCGTTCATATTACCCATATTTAAGTCGGGTGGCAGATCCTTTCGAAGCAATTACAGGCCCATATCATTAACCTCAAGTAACTGTAAGTTACTGGAACATATAATACAAAAACATATCATGACATTTCTAAGCGACAACAACCTACTTCTCATAAGTCAGCATGGCTTTCGCGAAAACGTCTCCTGTCAAACTCAACTCTTTGCATTACAGGTCTTCCTGTGTGCTCAGATTTGGGTGCACGTTAAAGAACCCCAGGTGGTCAAAATTTCTAGAGCCCTCCACTAGGGCATCTCTCATAATCATATCGTGGTTTTGGGATGTTATACCCCTCAAATCATCAGTTGCAGGTCTTCATCAATCACTGCACTTGTCACTGTAGGTCGACGCAATCTTTGTTGATTTTTCGAAGGCGTTTGATTGCGTTCTTCACAACCATTTGATTTTAAAAGCACACTATCTCCAACTGGACCACAAAGCAAGAAAATGAACTGAACAGTTTTTGACAAATTGTGAATAGTTTGTCAAAATACAAAATCATATCTCGAATATCCAACTCGTCATATCAGGAGTACAACAGGGGTCAGTGCTTGGCCCACTGTTTTTTAAAACTTCATTAGTGACATAGCAGCCAACATAAATGCATCAATTAGATTGTTTGCAGATGACTGCGTAATGTATAAAGAAATAATACCTCCGACAAATATTAAGCACTTGATGTCAGCCTTCACTAATCTAACAGATTGGTGTTCCCTATGGAAGACGCAGATTAATGTAAATAATACAAAGCACCTCAAGTTTAACACGGCAACAAATTGTCAGACTTATTCATGCACAATTCACAATATCACAATTGGCACAATTTGGACATATAAATACTTTGGTGTAATATTTATTTCAACGTTGACCTGGAATGACCACATAGAGTACACAACTTGTATAGCTTTGAAGAAGCTCCACCTCTTGAAGCAATGCCTTCATTTCGTGAACCGTGACACCAGGTTAGTAGTTTATAGCTTGTCCATTCATCCTGCATTAGAATATGCATCTATTATTTGGCATCCTCGTCATGTCACCTAGACAAATCAACTTGGAGTGGTTCAAAACAAATCTGTCATTATATTTCTTAGTTCATCCTGTCATCTCATTCTCGATTTCAAAGTGCCACAAAACTAAAAAGCACCCTTAACATGTATTCACTCACCTTGTGCTGAACACTTGCCTGGTTATCTTTCTTTCACACCCTCTACCATAGCAGTGCGTCTTTTTCACCATCTCAAATTTTAAACATAAAAGTCGAGCGCGAAAAGTACAACAAAGCACAGGAAACAAGGAGATAGAATAGAACGCTCACACTTGAGTTTTTCCTGCACGCATCACATCTCATCTAGATTATACCACACCTATAAAGTCAAATTTTTTCTCACACTGCAAAATACTGAAATTCACCTCTTGCACTATCAAATTATTAGTCTCTTTAGTTGATGCTCCACTTGTTTCTCGAGTGCGATATTACTTTTTTTTAAGAAATCAATTAATTTTTTTTACTGCATGTGATCTTTGATTATGTTCATTTCAGAACGAGAACTGAACAAACAAAAATTATCTTGAGGTTATTTTTATGTCTCAAATGGTTTTGCATTGCATTTACATTAAATCTTTTTCAATTGCTGTATGCATGAATTGTGATATCCTTCACTCCTTAGTAAAAGCCCCCCCCCCCCCCCCCCCCCCCATGTAATGCCCTCCGGACGTGAAGGGTATACAAATAAATAATTAAATAAATAAATAATTAATCAGCAATTCTTGGAGGGGGGTGAAGATTTACTCTTCCATTATGAGGAGCTGCTACTTTGAACACAAATATTTTATTGCCAGTTTCAAACATAGGTGGCATCAGCTTAGCCAGTGTAAGTGGGTCCTTCAACCCTTTTTCCCTTCATCTGAAAGCCACATTTTTGCTACGAAGACTGATTACTTACATATATCACCACTTAGGATGCCGGACCCTCCCGCTTTTAATGCTTCAGTCATAACACTCGCATGACATGCTACAGCGTAAGCTACCAACTCTGACTGTTCTCTCTCTTTACTTACGTCATAAAATGCACCCTAGCGCAGCCTGCAGGTTTTCTCCTGCCAGAAGAGCAGACCTAATTCATATTATGAGGCAATTTAACAACCACTCTCTTCCCCTTAACCTTGGTAGTGTTTCAAGTACTAGTTGAGCTATGGGAAGCTGTCATGTTCAGCGAAAACTCCGAACTTCAGGAGGCTATCCTGAGATTGTAGAGGAGGCCTACTGTGAGTAGGATAATGTCCCTTGCTTCTCGCAGCCCCTTTCTTGATGGCGTAAACAAAGTTGTCTTAAAGACTATAGTTTTTCTTGGGGTACTTTGACGCAAAAATTTTTGTCTGTCTGTCTGTTTGTCCATTGTAATGATACCTCAAATGGCACCAAACGATACCCCAATTGGTCAACCCCATTCGTAGCGGCCGCCAATATTTCTCAAGTTTCAGCATTCATACATGTGTGATTGTCAATTAAAAAGCAATTATTGCACATATCTGAGGCACTATAACAGCACGTTAATATTTTGTATGTGTGTCTTTATACTAGAGAAGCTATACATAAGTAGTTTTGAGGACCGTAGCGTTTATCACGGTGCACTGACAATGCAACGTGATGCTCAAAAAGGCAAGTGTTTCTAGCACTTTGCTAAGACGACACGGGGGTGGCACCTGCCCATCGCTTTGCGTTTTACACCTTATCGCCTCCAAGACAGGTATGCTCGCCTTCCTTCGTTTTCGAAAATAACTGCCAGATAACGCTTGTGTCTAACGTGCCTCAATGCGCTCGTTCGCCTTCAATGCATAGATCGAGACTCTCTAATGTAGTGCCTCCAGAATACAATTTACCGATTTTCTCATGCAGAACATCAAATAAACATTTCGATCACTCCCTTCACATGCAAGACTATCGTCTTTCGATGGCACTTGCAGTGAAACATGCTGATATGGGGTCAATTTTTTTTCTTGCATCAAGGGCAAAGCCATAAATACGGTAGCAACTGATTCTAATGCTGCTCGAAAAAAACCAAGAAGCTCTATCTGCAATTTGCATTTTACTGAACTGTGTAAAGTAACCTTGCTTCCTTGAAACTCGGTAGTCGCAGACACTGTTTCGTGCCCTGTGTGCATGTTGCAATATGCACACTGTAACAGTGCCAGTGCACATGCAATGTACCATAATCATTTCTGCATTTTGTCTTACTGAGGTTGTAGTGTAAATATAGTGATAAATGATCGTTTTTAAAAATAAATACTTTCTATTGATGCACACTGTTATCCATTAGCAGCTATTTGAGCCATTAATGAAAAATAGTCAGAATCACAGCGGGAATAGCTGCTTTTACTCTCTGACTGACATGATAAACGTTTTCCCATTGTTGTAACTCAAGGGTTACAGAGGTGTGCATCCTTAAAAGGTGCTCAAGGGCTGATGTCTGAGGCACTTGCCTGTTCATGAAGCAAATTTGCTTTGTGGCATTTCTTTTTGCGCTACTCTTAGAGGCCAAAGAAGCATCACAAGTAGTCATCGTGCCTAAGGGACCTTTGGTGGCACAGCACACCTAGTTATCCCTTGTTAGATTATTCATTGTAAGTGCCGTTTTCAGTTGTAGCTGCCTGTGTCATGTTCTCTTGATCACCACTTTTTATTCAGATATAGTTGTGTGCATTAGAAACTGGTGTGCATGCTGTTGAAATTCGCAGTTCACAGAGTTAAAACAACTTGTTTCAGTTGCTGTGCTTATCATGTACTGCATTGGGTAGCTAGCATACCAGGTCCTACACCTTCTTCTTCAAAGCAATGTCAGGGTGTTACTCTTCCTTCCTTAATTATTCCAAACATTGGGATAATTAACAAGATCTAGCATATGAGTATAGACATCATTACATTCACCTGTACCATATGGTACATTATTAAGGAGGATTCACCACTGTGCAGCTTAGTTTTCTGGTATTTTAGATGCAAGTGCTGCCTCAAGCAATGTAAGCATAGTGCACAACAATTTAGAAAATCACTGGTGCCTTTAGCGAGGACTTATCTGCTGCAAAGCCAGGTGATTTTAGATTCCTAAGAAAGAAAAGCTTGAATGTACTTTATTTTAACGTGTTCCAATGACAGGTGACCACACTCCATATACCATAGTCATATGATTACTTGCTTTTTTCACTTTTAGCGCCATCCTTCTAGAGCTTTTCTCTTGCCAATTCTGTCCCCACATTGACTGTCTTACAATTTCCTATGCATCTGCGTAATTCTCTTCATTTTGCCAGGAAGCATTCTTTTTCTCTCTGTCCTTGTGCTGAATGCTTGAGGGTCTACATTGTTTCACAAGTGTGTTGCTGTATTTTATAAAAGCAATTAAATTGTGTTAATTCTCTTTTTGACTTTCAGATTCTCCATGGCGTCACTTTTGGGCATGGACAGACTTCCTGAGTTATGTAGAATTCATGGCCACCTTTGCACTCTGCTCGGGGTCCCTCTTGTACCTGCTGCTTGATGTAGAGATCGTGGTTGAGGCTGTAGGCTTCGTAGCTTTACTCACTGAAGCTCTTCTAGGGCTGCCTCAATTCTGGCGTAATATGCGGAACCAGTCTACTCATGGCATGAGGTAAGGGTAACTCTTCGTTATAGTGATCATGCTCTATTAAGTCTGTGAAGCAGGACTTGTTGCCTGAAACACTATGAGAGGGAATGGATGCTGTTCTAGTACTGCATACATGAAGCATAAAATGAGAGGATTAGCAGATAGTGAACCCAAAAAATGTATAACGAATGTGACCTTTCCGAAGGTCACAGGTTCGGTCCCTGCCAGTGGCAAGCTGTTTTTCCGTCCAGTTTACTTTCTTCACATCTATATTACAATAAACATAAAACAGTACAATTAACATTCTCTATACTTTCCTTGCCTTCATTGTCTGCTGGTTTTCATTAAGTTTGGTCAACCAAAGAAATGAGCCCTCAAGAATTTCCTTCCTTTATTCAATATGAGAGGATTGGGCACAATGGGAGCCCAATGGGAAATGCACATAGTCACAGCCAGAGTAACATGAGCATCATCTAGGGTGTATAGGTATGCTGTTAGTACTTGATTCTAGGGCTTATTGCATGTTTTCAAATTTTCTTGCTGTCTTCTGCTCTGAGGGGTGTACAGGCGTCATCTAAAGTTCATATTGCATTCACCTCGGGAGACCTCTGTGATAAGAGCTCAGGCTGATTTCTGCATGATGATGATAACATACTACTCTTTGTAACCCTGGTGTTGTAACATTATTTTTGCTTCTTCTTTATTGTGTAAGTTCACGGAGTTGCAATTTAGCATAACTAAGATTTTTGTGAAAATAGAATAAAGCACCATTACATTGCAGATGTGACAAAATTATGATGGTACAGTCAACGGAAATCGAAACAAGACATGTTCAGGGCAAGATGGAGGCTTGAAATTATTGTCACAAGAGTCTCATGTCTCGTATCTGCTCATACCAATACTGATGAAGGCACCCGCCATTTATTTTCTTGCTGCATTTTATGAAGAAATCAGACCTCTTGACTTTTGCATAGCCATTAGACATGTGTTAAAAGTACATTTTAGGTTCTAAGTGAATTGGAAGCAAACAGGGATCGGTCGAATAATTGGAATCAAATTTGAATAGTATATATATATATATATTAAATATTAGTAAAAAAATGAACATATTTGTCATTACCCAACTAACCTGCACGATATCCTTTTTAAAATTTAAACAAGGCAGGTGCTAATGTTTTTTTTTTTTTTTGTTCAGCGGGAAGTGGAGGCAACTTTGAATAGTAGTAGGATTTTAATTTTGGCGGAGTGCATGTGCCTGTAAAATATGTTACTTTATAAATTTTACCATATTTAGAGCACATAAGCCACTATAACAAGCTGTTAAACTTTAAAAATGATGAATCGATATGAGGGTAATGTGTTCATTTAACTTGCCCCGCCGCGGTGGTCTAGTGGCTAAGGTACTCGGCTGCTGACCCGCAGGTCGCGGGTTCAAATCCCGGCTGCGGCGGCTGCATTTCCGATGGAGGCGGAAATGTCGAGGCCCGTGTGCTCAGATTTGGGTGCACGTTGAAGAACCCCAGGTGGTCAAAATTTCCGGAGCCCTCCACTACGGCGTCTCTCATAATCATATGGTGGTTTTGGGACGTTAAACCCCACAAATCAATGTTCATTTAACTTTGAGGTGGGGCTTCGTGGCAGTGCAGATTTCTCCTGGATAAGTGTATTCACGTAACAGCACCCTTCCACTGCAGTGAAACCACCCTTACAAGGGGTTACGCATTAGATCATGTATCACCAACTGGCACAATCGTCCACTTTGGTTAAACGTGCTATTTGCACTTTTATTTGTTCATATCGAATAATTTAAGTTCATTTCTAAGCAAATTAGAATATTGTAATATTCATTAGAATATTTGAAATGCTCGAATATTTGCACATGCCTGATACGTATTACCAACCCAACCTAAAGAGCAAGCTGGCTTCATCAGAAGGTACTTTGCTATGAATCACTTTCATTTTATTATATCAAATATTTGAAAAGTCTGCTGAATACAAAAAAAAAGAATGTTACTATGGGCATTCACAGATTACAAAAAAATAATTAGACTCTGTTGAGATACAAGCAGTGTTGGACGAATTAACTCCGGCAAGGAATACTTTCTCTTTCATTACCACGCCTATCCAAATCGATCACCGGTGATCAACGATTTTGGATCATCGATTTTGGCATGTTAAATTTGTTTCTCGTGCACCTAGCACTTTTTAGTAGTTAGTCCAGCCACTCAACTTGCAGAATCAGTTTGAATTTGCCTGTTTCAGCGACATAGTGACTTTTGGCAGACGTTTGCGCGAACAAATGTGCATGTATTGTTGGAAAAGTACACTAGGCTGGCGCACTTAACAGAAGTGCGTGCCCATCATAATTATGGTAAAATAACATAAAATTCTGTAATGAAAAGAACCTTTGCAAGCCAAACATTGAATTAAAGTGTCAGTTTTGCAATTTGACTATGTTGAGAAGTAATGATAGCCAGAAATTCATGCCATATATTCAATAGAACACTGTTCCTAAGAGTCAGAAATAATTTGTTCTACAAAAAATATTTGTGATGCTCCACCACGTGTTTAAAACTGTTGAGGTGGCCTTCTATGACAGTTTCCAGCAGCTTTGGTTTTGCTTGCATCATTATATCAGGCACAGGGTCGCATCTAGTGTCACTAGTCACTCCTATGATGTCGTCACGCGTGCATGGGTGCGAATCAGCGCTGAAAAACACATGTGCTGCTCGAAACTGTCTTGCAACCCCTCCTGAGTTGAGTGAGGACGAGCTTAGCTTTAGAGGATGACGGCACCTCAGCTTCAAGTTTTATGGCGACTATGTTTTGCATAAGCCTGATAACCACAGGCGTTCTTGGGTTTGTTTTGTTTACATCCTCAAGTTGTTTCTTACACCGCAAGTTTGTATAGCTTCTGATGTTTGTGCACAATCGTATAGTTAGTCTGGTTACGTGCGTGGTCCACACTTCGCTGGGGCGTAGTGTGCTGGTGCTGGCTGCAGAGCTTCTCTTAACGGCATGAAGGCTCCCGGAGCACATCTTGGCCCTGACTACGAAGCAGTGCAAAACGTTTTAGAACTGCGCGCAATATTGTCATTTTTTTAATACAATATGCACGAAAATGCAAAGAATTATGCTTGGATGCCTATATTGCAACGCCAACCTATGCGGTGTAAGGCGGCTCATGGAAAGAGGTGATGCTAGGTGAAACAGTGAAATTCATTGGACATCTCATTTATAGAAAAATTATTCACATCATGGGTATCCATCTACTTCTATCGGAACACTAGGAGACTTATCGCAACACAACAAAAGTTTACTGAGAAATAATAGCAAAAGTTGAGCTAGCTGGTGGTTCATACTTGGGAAGTAAAAAAGCGCGATGTCGTCTCTTCCTCTGTTCTTGTCCATATTTTTTGCACTGTTTTTACTTTCCAAGTATTACTGAGAAAAAGTGTACAACTACAGTTGTGTCTCACGAAAAAAAACCATGCAATGCTTCACCACAAAGCAGCACCTCGGTTCTGATTTTCTTTGTCTATGTGAAGAGAAACATTTTTGTACAACATTCACTATTTTTTATACTGTTCTTGGGTCATTTTACTACGAAGTGTATATTCTGAATTTTATTTCTTTTGAATATTTTTGCATGTATAGTGTTTTTTATTGCACTGTTCACCAGCTTGTGACCAAAAATTCTATACTTCTCACTTTTTCTATTCATTCTAAAATATTTTTGTTGCTCTATAATATAAATTTTTTGGAAAGAGCATTTCGTTGTGCAAAGTTTGAAATGCTGCAATGCGTGCAGGAGTACTTTTCTAATTGGAAAAAATAATTTCCCAAAACTTATGAAAAACAACCATTTTTACGCGATAACGAAAGAGTTAAACATACAGTCGAGCCCACTTATTACGAACCTGTGTGTGACGCGGCATTCGTTCACTGTATCCCGAAGTTCGTAGTAAATGAAATGCAGCTCTAATAGTTGCGAGTGAAAACAATGTTTTTTTTTTTTTCGTGGAAAAGTTTGTAACACACGTAGTTTCGAAGAGCAGAAGTGATAAGGGTGGTCTCGAGATTATTTAAAGCAGCAGCGTGCTCTTCGCTGAGGCCCATGGCATATACAAGCTGCCTGAAACTTTTAATGTAGCCAATCACTACAAGCACGCTTGTGGGCACTGGCTTTAAATTTTCGTCCTCGTTATCATCCGATTCCTCCAAGTCGCTCTTGTCGCGCACTTCATTCACAATGCCCTCCTCCGTGCACTGTTCCGCAGTGTCGCCATCATCATTAGCTGAAATGAAATCGTCGCAGCAGAAGTCCCGCCTTTCCATGTCAAAGCTGACGACTTGCTGCCTCAAATCGTTGCCGGGGTAGTCTTGTTCGGAAGCTTCAGACTCAACATCGGGTCCGACGTCGACGAAGTTGGCCTCGTGAAAACAGTTTGGCACACATGTAGCCATCAGCTTTACCCACGGAGCCTTCACCATCACTATAGTTGCATACAGGGGCACCTGAAGGGGCCAGTTGGCTACGGGGCGGTCAATAGCTGTGAGCAATGTGGTTAAACTTTCGACGTTTGGTTGAACGGCAGGAAAACACCCAATAGATTCTTAACACAGTGCGGAAGGCCTTCCATCTGCCATCTTGACCACAGACGCAGACCAACAGCAAGCAAAACGTGCAAGCATGACGTACAAGCCAGGACGTGTGGAACTGCTCAGGGCCAATTTTTAGAGAAAGAAAAAACAAAAAAAAAACTTCGGAATTCGAGTCAGTATCGCAGAGTGGTGGAGACAGGGAAGGAGGTGCACTAAAGTTGAGGGAGGGGAGCAAAGAGAGCGAACGGCAGGAAGGCAACCTTGAAGACTGGAATAAGCGGGAAGAAGGCTGGTCGGGTAGCTTGCTTGGAAAGTCCGCAAAACGTGCAACTGATGTGTAATAAAACTTGGAAGAGAGGTCTGCACAAGCAGAAGTAAAAAATCCGCATTATGGCGTCAATGGGCTTGTGCGGCCCCGCCAACTTCGATAATTCCTGATTTGTTCCGTGAAACAGCCGTTTTTTATGCTTCCACATGCGTGCAGAAGGCATGCTGAGCGGATTACGAAGTGAGCGAGAACAGGTCCTAAACATGCAACGAATCGCGAATAATCAAGGTCGGTGGGGTAGCTCAAGCTTGTGCACTGGTACGATACGACACCGATCCAGACAAAACGCAGATGATCGGGTACAGTCGGCAGCCGACAATGTTGGCACAAAGTGTGGTCGCTGTAGACCGGTGATGCCAACGTTAGTGTAGCCAGCGATGAAAAACTGAGGGGAGACCAGTCAGCTGACCTTAGCGGTCTTCGATAGATCGGTGGCATTGTGAAAACGCGATCCTCCTGAGCGATGCGGAGTGGGTAAAAAGGACGAAGGGTCGGGGGGGTAGCCTAATAAAAAAATGCTCGGGGAGAGCGACAACTAGAGGGTGGCCAAGGCAGGGTTGGCGTGGTTGGCATTAATTTATGAGAACCTCGCCGATTTTATCGGCGGTCGAAAGTGGGTTCCCGGGAAGTCGCCAGAGCGCCGGCTCCGTTCGCTGTAAACAATCGGCGGCGCTCAGAGATGGTCGTTACAAGTGGGATTTGGTGCCATTGAAATAATGTATATTTTTATGGTCACGCAGATATTGTTCGTTTTAAGTAAAGCCGTTATATTCGGGCTCGACTGTATATGAATATATGTTTATGAATACCATAGCCGGTGTATACAGAAATTTCACAGCTACTCTGCTCCTCCTCAGGGAAAGCAGAGAAATCCCAATCAAGGAGTGCGGCTAAGAGGTACACTGTACAATGTTTAGAATAAGTTTAGAAGTAATGACAAAGGGCTAGGTTATGTATGATTAAATGAAGAAATTGGCATGCATAAAATGTCATCAGCTGGCACAGGCTGATATTCTCAACTACACAACCTTGCAGTGGACAGAAGACAGGCTTATGGTAATGATGATGACTAGGCTTGTGCGAATATTCGAATGCTTTGAATATTCAAACGAATAGTAGAGTATTCGAATTCGCTTCGATTGCAATTTACATTATTGAAAATTGTGTATTCGGACGGAACGAATAAAGGCATATTAATCAGAGTGTATTGCTTGTAAAGATGGTTTCACTGCAGTGTAGGGATGGTGAACCGTGAAAGCACCTATGCAGGAGAAATCCGCTCTGCCGCGAAGCTCCCCTTCAAATTTGAAGGGGTTCTGCAACACTTTTTGAATTGTCAGAAAACGTTGCCGATTGGTAGTCGAGGCTACCAAGGACACGCAAGCCAAATATTATTGCGCAGCACGTGGCATGCGATTCACAATAATTTCTCAAAGACAGCCAAACAGTGCTCTCTTCTTTGGCAAAGGATCCCCATCCTCAGAAAGCACGCGTGACCTATTTTCGTTCCTCGTGGCATTCCCCCCCTGCTTAGCTTCGAGCACTTTTGTCGCGACGAAAAGAGAGAATGCACTTGCAGCGTGCGAGAAATTTTTGCAACTCCTCGCGTACTGGACGGATTCTAAACATTTTTGCGGCGGTGAATTCATGAGACAATAAGCATCTTTAGTGAATCCATTCCATGGCTACTTGAAAAAAGGTCGCATGGTCCCTTCAATTAAAAATATTACCATCAAATTAATTCATTTTATTAAGCTTAAAAGCTCGTTATGACAGCTTATATGCTCTAAGTATAATAAAGTTTAAAATGTTACGTATTTTAAAGGTTAAGACTCGCATCCTGTTGAAAGCCAAATCCTGCTACTACTCAAAGTTCTTTTGACTTCTTTTGAACAATAAAAAAGGCATTTGGATAGAGGCCCTACTTCAAATTTTCAAAAATATTGTGTAATTTAGTTAGGTCATGATAAATATGCCCATTTTTCTTTATATGCAGTATGTACTATTCAAATCCGATTCGAAATTATTCGACCAAAATCACTATTTGCTTCAAATTCGCTTTGAACCTAAAATTCACTATTCACAGAAGGCTAATGATGGCCAATACAGCCTTCAGAAAAACAAAACAAGAATATTCTCAATCCATACTGTTTTGGGGTCATCCATTGGCAGATTCGGAGCACTTGTTGTAATACTTTTTTCTGCACCATGCGGAGCAAGTCTATTCTATTGGCGGATTGAGAATTCTCTGTGTATGTTCCATTGGCAGATCTGGAGCAGCTCCATCGCGAGATCCACTCCACGGAGCAACTTTTTATACTCTGCAAAAATCGTCGGATTCGACACGAAGTCGCAAGCCTTGAAACGTGCCTTGAAACAGGCCAACTTTAGCCGCGCCAATGGACACCGGTCGCATCAGTTGCGCCTCGCGTCGGAGTTCACATTTTGCTAGCGTAGCTTCGCTCTTCCCAGTATGCCCACTCAAGCAAGAAGAGGGACACGCGCATCGTGTTCCATTTTGATTCTGCCATTTACTCAAAAGGGAGCGCATGTGTTCCATTGGTAGGTTCCCGTCTGTAACCCTCTGCCAGAGTGGAGTGCTCCGGCACAGAGTTCGTGGGTCACTCCGAATCCGCCAATGGATGACACGATTTGTCTGGTGAATTTATTTACATAGCAAGTCTTTTTAATGTTTCTTTTTAAATATCTGCATTTTAGTCTTCAACGTATTGGGAAATATTAGTCACAGGTTATTTGTCAATCACTAATTAAAATTATTTTTGAAGACATAAAATCACATTATATAAGTGATAAAACAAAACAAGTGCTAATGCCAAACCAACAAATCAATACATGACCTGCAACTTCAAGATAAAAGCTGTGTTTCTTATAAAGAGAGAGAGAGAGAGAGAGTACCCGATTCAGAGTTTATACAGCTTGTTGACAATTAGGGACTTTCAAAAATGATCTTAAGGGCTCTTAAAATTTTCAAAAATTAATGCGCTCCTTGAATTCATTGAAAATTGGTGTTTGCCCGCTGGTGCGCAACTTCGAGCTGTTGGGATTTGGTGGGGCACAACACAGAAAGTGCAACTCTAACGCAGTCTGTAATGACTCTGTAGAGGCCATAGCAGTAGCCCTATGGAGCAATCAGAGCTGCCAAGATGGTGAATTTGACAGTGCCCCAAACAGCACCTTGTATTTTCTGCATTTGGCTTATTTGCAATAGAAAATAGGATTAGGTGAAGTTTGACAAGTGTGGACTGATATCCTACATCATGCAATCAGCATATCATTATTCACTTCTCATTTCAATACTAGCCCTGGGGACAACACGGTTGTCCATATTTTCAAATATTGTCTCGTATTTTTAATCAACTTACTGTGATGCTATAAAGATCAGTGGCTCACTGTCCAAGTAGCTAAAGAGAGGAAGCTGTCAGTACAGGGTACCAATACAGTGAGTATTAGGAGAATGCTAGGAGGAAAAGAAGACTAAAAGAAATAGCAAGAGTGCATCTGTTTTGGAGCTTAGAACGCTAGAATAAAAATGGGAAAGAAAAGTCCGAACTCCAAAATACATTGAACTGTAGAAGACAATGTGTTGACACGTATTGTGAAGATACCGAAGCAAAAAATGACATCTCCTTGAGCCAAGTTGAACGACTTCCAAAAGACAGCCAAAGAAAAGGAGTCTGAGGTGGAGAATGCTCAGCAAGAAACTGCAGCTAAAAAGGAAGATGTTTTAGAATCGATCACATGATATTAAAATGCATGAAAAAAGTTTGCTTTTCCTCTCTTTGAATTTTGGCCTTCAGAAGCCTTGAAATTTTTTAATTTTTCTTGAATTTTTATTCGAACATTCTTTACGAACCCTGTAAATGCTATATGAACTTTCATTTCATAAATTAAAGAAGTCCTGCTATGTCTAGACCTGATCCTCATTTTGTACTTTGCCAAGCACTAATTTTTTAGCATATCTGGTTAACTAGATGTGCTTTCTGAACTGGGATACATGATGCCTAATGCTTTGTATCTGTTTTGTCCATTTCAGCAACCAGATGGTGCTCATGTGGACTATGGGTGATGTTTTTAAGACTGTCTACTTCATTATGCGGTCAGCGCCATTCCAGTTCTGGGTTTGTGGCAGCCTTCAGGTATCCCTCGATATTGCCATCCTGATACAGGTGGCATGGTATAAATACAAACCAGCATCCTCAAAGGTTCTCAAACGCAGCAGTCATATCAGCTGACGATGGCTGGTTAGAGATGGTGCTCATGTGTTTGTGACCTTAGTCTTTACTACAGTGGGCTTTTTGTGACTGAAATGCATTTGTCTGCACTTTGTTTGATATTGAGTTATGATTATATATATCACACTTTCCTTAGCCTCCTTCATGCCAAAAATATGTGGAGCAAGCATCAAAATGCTTTTGTTATCTTTTGACAAGCAGCATCCTGTGTTTTTTTAATATGTATTTGTATGATATAATTCCCCCCAGACATTATTATCAAATGCAAGCTGCATAAAGAAATATGTAGGTAAATGACAAGCTGGCTGTCAGAGTTCATGTCGCAGCAAGCTAAAATTGCATTATTCAGATGAATACTTTACTAGATTATTTATGGCTTTTTTTTTTCCACTTCAGTGTTGTCTTTCATGTAGCCTTTTATGAAGTAGTGCACATACATCTCATGTTATGTTTTTTTGTGAGTTGTGAGGTTGGACAGTTGATCTCAAAAAGTGGATGAACATTTCATGCAGAAAGAGGGGCCTGTCTGCTAATTGAGCACTTCATGCAGAAACCTCACTAGGGAGCTTCCATAAGCACACAGGGTCACCTTATATGCATCCAGCTGTTTGTCTCTATTGAAATGTGGATGCCTTGCTATGCTTGCTGAAAAGGTGGCTTAAGAGAATTAGTGCCTTACACTTTAGTGCTCTGTGGGAAGCTCGACATAAATGTTGCTAGGGCCCAGTTGTGAATTTCCTGTAGTTGTTTGTTGGTTAAAAATATGTACTGTTGCACTCGAGGTCTGTTTTTGCAGACGTCCTTTAACACAGCAACTTCAGTTTGATACCATTATCATTCTTTATAAATTTGCTTGTTCTCTTCAAGAAAGATTAAGTTTGAAAAGCCTGGAAACCATGCTGATCTGTTTGGCTTGTTGTTTTGCTAAGTATATAGTATATAACAAAAACATTTTGTTATATGCTTTTATATCATAGTATATGTATTATATAGTGGTTCTATATACAGGTAGTGAATTCTGTATTGAAGATGCTTGTTTTACCTTCTTTATGTCTAGTTGTAGATCCTTGTGATGCCGACCTTCATAGATACCAGTAAATCAGCTTTTAGCGTAAGGTTTATGTGGAGTGACTCTACGCTTTCATAATTACACACAGCTTTATGTGGTGCTAGCGTGAGCCCTTTAGCCTGGACCGTACAGTGCCTAATCTTGTTTTGCATATCATACAGCCTAGTTAAAGCCCCTGCTCTGCAAAGTACATTGAAAATATTCTTTTATGAATGAAATGTTTGGTGAGTGATGGATTGCTTACCCCTATATTCAGAAATGCCCCTTGACTTGAACTTGACTTGCCACTGCCTTTTTTGCAGCACAAATGCACTTCAAAAATGCTGTATTGAAAGTGCTGGCAAGTTAAATTCATGTCAAGGAGCTTTTCTGAATACGGGGGTTTATAAGCAATTGCACATTAGTTATAAAATAAAATTTCATACTAAATGTGAAATGCCCTGACAGATAATATATATCAGGTAAGCAGTTATGCCAACACAGCACAGGTAGTTTCGCAAAGTATTTTGGCAGGTGCTTAGGGGAATTTTCATGTGATACCATACCATGCACTCATATCTTATTATATTGACATAGAACGTTCTATATCCACGTTTAAAATTAAAGGGGTTTTATAACACTTTTTGAGCTATGTCAGAAAATGCTGCCAATTGAAAGTCAAGGCTCCTGCAAACATGCAGTTCAAACATTATGCAGCACACGGTATGGAATTCACAATAAATTTTTTTAGTCAGCTATAAATAGCTCACTCTTCTCTTGACAAGTGATGCCATAAGCTCAATTTGGCTTATGACACTGATTTGGATTATAGTCATTGGCTGGTTTGAGCACCATGAGCTGCGTAGTTACTACAGCTATTTCGTGACATTGTAATATGCCCGAGCCAAGCTCTGTAGTGGTAGAATTGGACACAATATAGGGTCTCATGGTCATACTGAAAGGGTGCCACACATTTTTTACACACACAAAAAAACTCAAGTTCATAGCATGTGCTCACATATGGGACCTAGCTTGTCTCCCTCTTGTAGCAGACCCCTTCCCCCCCCCCCCCCCCGCTCATTGGGACGATAAGTGGGGATAAGAACTGAAAGCATGTGGCAAATCCCTATGAATTTGCTTGTGCTTAACAAATTCTAATCATTTTCATGAGCCAATTCATGAGCCAATAAACTCGGAGAGTGAGGTCATTTTGTGATTACTTCGAAAAGTGTTGGAGGGCCTCTTTAAGGTACTTCGTCCTGGCAGTCACTATGGTAAACTTGTCAGGACAACAGCTAAATTCACTGAGCATTGCGTTTCCCACCTGTTCGCTAAGCTAGCTAGCTGTCTTCAGGGCTGAACTCTTAAGCAGCGGTTCTCAGCCATGGATATTTCAGGGACCCTTTGTAAACCAGTGGAACCGATGGGGGACTCCTTGCAGTAAAAGAGAGGAGGGGAGAGTTATAAATTAATGCTACGTACTGCATGAAATAGGCACATTTTATTTTCACATGGAATAGAATGGTCAAACAAAACTGCCGCATCAATTTGATCTCAACACTTTAATAAGTTGTGCTGTCTGCAACGACATTCGACCTCTGTCTAGCTATGTTTGGTGTTCAAATATGCAAGCCGAGAAAAAGCATGATCGCATGCATATGTCGCAAAAAACTAACAAAATCTTTACAGTCATCTCATTGAGAAGGATAAACGTGTCAGATCCTCGGTAATGCAAACTTGTTATGCAGTAAAACATATTAAAAAAATCGGAAGGGGCTGCTGCCACTAGACATGTCACGAGGCTCATGAGTGTTGTGGGCCACCAAAAATGGCTGAACAGGCCCTTAATCTGAGAACGGCTGCTATAAAATGCAGGAACTTTAAAATTTGTCTTATTGGAAGTTCAGTGTCAGCTAATATGTGGAAATAAATAAATATTCCCAAAGGATTTCATCACTAGAAAATCGGCTTTTACAGTGTACTATACTTTTAAACTACTATAGTGACAAACAGGTAAAATTGTATGCCAAAGTGAGAAAGCTTAATTACAGGGCAAGAAAATGCGTAGGCAGGAAAGCTATAAATTATGGTGAAAGTTATCCCAGGTACTGTTTTTTTGTGCATTTTCATATTTTAGTTTTTGTTTTTCTCTGCTCTTAAACTGAAGTATTGTATGCAAGTTGCCTAGCAATGTATATAAATGTGGAGGTGTCTAGATTGTCTTCTTTTTTTTTTGGTTCACTTTCTTGAGGTGCACTGTGAAACTGCTCAGACTTTTGCAAAATGAAGTGCTGTTTCAGCTTCAATACATGACTTGTGAGCATCTTGTAACTATGGTGGTACGAAAATGAACTTTGGACTCTTAGCACAGTAATGTAGCAAAGTCTTCTGCATTTGTTGTCAAGTGTGGGTTTGTGCTTCATTTTGGACAAGATTGTGCTTCATTGTTATACAGTCGATCCCGGATATGTCGAACTCAGAGGAGATTGCTAAATAGTTCAATATATCGATAATTCGAAATGCAGGATATGTCTATTTAAGAGTTGCCTTGTAACGGTGCGTGTTTCGGAGCGGTTTCCAGAGTTTGTTCCTGGCAGGAGCTTGCCTATTTGCGGGGAATATTTAACAAAAAAGCACGAGAACAATTACACTTTATTTGGCATGAAAGAAGTCCGTGACTTTAGATTGCCTCTTAATTTTTAGCCATGAAATTCATAAGGCCATTCTCAATATTGTTCAGCCTCTTCAGATAGTCTAGTCCTGTGCCTTTGATAGCGCCACAGTAGCAGCGAGTGAGGCTGAATTCCGACGAAGGTTTTGCAGCGATGCACAGTTGCTTCGACGCATCGTCGGCATCATCATCGCTGCTCAGGTCCGCTGCATCGACACCGGCGACATCGGACACAATTTTCGCATCGGTGCGGTCTGAAATGGCTTGCACCTCACCATCAGCATTGATGAAATCGGTCACTGTGGCCCCATCAGCGATGGCACCCGTGAACGCAGAGAGCTGGCCGAAGTCGTCGCCGAGGCATTATAGGTCGTTGGCTGCTGTCATATCGCTCCCAAGGTGGTCAGGGGATTCTAATAGGCCAGCTTTACTAAAGCAGTTTACGACTGTGGTTTTCTTCACATTGTTCCATGCTCGAGTCATTATTTGAATCGTTCTGAGCAGGTTGATTTTCAGTTCGACCTCCAAACGAAGGTTGATCAGGAGCCGTTGCACCAGATGTCGCCTGTATCCTATCTTAAGTGCTTTGATAATGCCTTGGTCAAAAGGCTGTAACCTTGCCATGGTGTTGAGTGTCAAAAACTTGATAGTGATTCTTTTCAAGTGGCTAACAACGTGGTGTGGAGAACAATTGTCTACAAGAAGACAAATGTTGCGATCTGCCTTCTCCAATTTGGCACCCACAAGCGCGGATTGACTCAGAGAAAAGGTCCCGTGTCATACACACGCTTTTTTATTAAAAGCGTATCGGACCGGGAGGCTCTTCGGTTTCTTGAAGCAGCGCAGCAACTTGCTCTTGCCGATAAAAAACGGCCGCAGCTTACAAGAACCATCCAAGTTCACTGCAAGCAGAATTGAAACGCACACTTTGCTCATCTTACCCCCATGACAGGAAGACCCCTTCAAGTCCAACGTCTTGTTCGTCAACATCGGCCAGAACAGCGCCGTTTTATCGGCGTTGAAAATATCTAACGGCGAAAAGCTGTCGTGAATTTTCGGCCATTTTTGGACAGCCACTTTTTTGTATCCTGGCTGTTTGTCGCTCTACTTTCGCCGGACAAGGTTTTTTTAATGATGACGTAACGGTTTTTTAAGCATTTTGCCAGCTGGTGCCACCAATGAAATCATCGACCCTCAAGACCACAGCAAACCATTTCGCTTTCTCCATCAACATCGGTCCGTTAATAGGGATATTTTTTGCCCGAGTTTTCAAAAAGCAGGCGTATAGTACCTTCTCAACTTTGTCGTACTCCTGAGTACCTTCTCAACTTTGTCGTATGCAGGAGTACGCACGTGATAAGCTTAAGAATGGCACGACTGGGCAGCCTATGCCTTTACATCGACTTCGTTCTTCAATATCGTGCTTAACGTGCTTCGAGAAATGCCGAATGCTTCTGCGACCAATGACTTCTTTTCGCCAGCCTCCACACGCCGAATGATGTTGGTTTTTGATAGCCAAGTCTAAGTTCTTCTGTTTTTCACGTCCATGGTCACCAGCATCAGCAGATATCGTGCACACCGTGATCACAAGTCGGAAGCGTGAAAGCGGCGAAAGCTACACACAAACAAAGCAACAAGGGCAACTGGAAATAGTGGCTGAATCTGTTAAAACCAGCCAGAACATGATTCAAAACATGCTCTCGGCGATGGTGATGGCACTTAGGCTTTCACAGCACGCAGCTGCAACATTTGTAAAAACATAGAACGAGGAAAAAAGCCGCCAGAGATATATAGTTCGCAAAGGCATGGCCTTCGAGATTGGAAATACCCACGAGGTGCAGGTGAGAACAGATATTGAAGGCTATGCTTTTGGCTATTGCATGTTCGAATGCATGAAAGCGGAAATAGTTTCGACGCGCACGCACAAAGAGGGTTCTTAATTTTTTCGTTGCATGACTGAATTGTCAGGGCACTAGTGCAGCGAAGCGTTCGATATATCGAATGCGCCAGCATATGATAGTTTGATATGCATGCACATGTTTCCTATACTTTTACATAGGATTTTCAAGGAGATTTTTTGTCTGTTCGATATAGCCAATACGATATATCTGAGTTCGATATACCCGTGATCGACTGTACATATCAATGCAATGACTGTACCTCATTTCGTACATAGCAGGCAGTGCAGAAGTGGCACTTATAGTGGAGTTATGGACGACTCCTTCCATCTGCTGACAGGGTACTTTTTTTTTTCATCTGCAACTCTGTGTACGAAATTTTGGCTTGATATAGCAGTGCAGTTTGGTGTTACATCAAATCACACGTTATGTATTTGTAGTCCTTTGCGTGTGACTTATTTGCACTGTTTTCACTACCAAAACCACGATGTGATGATATGACTATGAGACATGCCACACTGGTGTACTTCGAATAGAGTTTTATCATCTGGGGTTCATTAAGGTGCAGCTAAATTTAAGTGCATGGGTGTAATTGCATTTTGCCCCCATTTAAATCCACCAATAATGGGAACCCATGACTTCCAACTTAGTAGTGCTATACCTTAGCTTACTGAGCTACTGTTGTGCATAATTTGGATTGCCAGTGTGTGATGTATTATGTTTTAATTGCAAGAAGACTTGTTACACTGTGGTCACTGATGGCTGAAATGTGTTACTCTACTCATACATACTATACTGACAGTGCAAGCAGGTGAAGTACATAGAAAGAAGTAAACGATTCAAGAGGAAGTGATTAAGTGGCTAGTTTCTTATTGAACACAACCTAATAATCAAATGGGTATGAAAGCCAAGGAAAGCATAGGGTGCACTTATAATTTGTAGTTATCAATTGAAGTTTAGTAATTTTGATGTTAAGGGAACTTAACTTAAGTAGGTGACAAAGAAACTACTTGCTGCTTGTGGGGATCAAACCCCTTATCAAAAAACGAGACTTCTGACTAACGAATGAAGGGCGCTGTTATAAACCACAAATATATGAGAAATGAACTATGCATAAATTAACAATGTGCCTAAGTCCTTAAAGCTGTGCATGCTGTTAGTATAATACCAATCATCTATATTGACTTGCCCAATTACCTACAGTTCTACTCTGCTTGTTCATAGACATATCTGCATGCCTTCTGTAAAAGTGTGTAATTATACTATATTTTGCAAAACTTTCAACATCATCAAGTTATAGGATGTATAAATATATCTTCCTTGCATATTTAATATAATATTCTTTAGCTGCAATTGTGAGCAGTAAGTGAAGTGGCAGCAGCCTTTCCATTGTTGCCTGCCATGTACTAAATGAGGTATATATAGTTATTTAAATTGTTATTTTAAAAAAATGGCAGGGCGTTGTGGTAGTACAAATGGGGCACTTTTGTTTTGCAGCCATGTTTTGGCCATAGTTATAAAAATATTGATGTTGTTGATTGTAAGTGCATTAATGCTATATTCATGGTTGTGTCTCCTTCTGTAAGTACACAATCCAGTGTGTAAACAATGTTAGTTGTTAGCACTGTGAAGTTTCTATGGGTGTTTACTTCCTGAAAAGTTTTGAAATTATCAAATCTTGCTGTTTGAGGTATGTGACATATAAAATGTTAATGTGCATTGTACTTTTCTCATTTTCTGAAATGTTAGGGGAAACTAGTGAGCTATATGTACCTAGAGGTGCCAACTATCTTTTGAAAACTAGGTTTATGTGGCTTTAGCTGCTTGTGTGGTTTATTTCTTCATGCTCTTTACTATAGTGCCTAAATATTTAATTCTACATATTGTAAAGATCTTAGACCTGTACAAAATGCCTAATGTATTGCTACAGTTGAATACAGAAACTGCTTGTGATCTGCAATTTCATTTCCAACACTCTCGGAAATTCTATATGGGGTGTAGGAGTGCTTACCAAAGAACATATATACACATTAGTGCTTGGTGGCAACTGTTGATGCTGAATAGTAAATGTTTTGGTGCCATGCTTATCAAGTTTACAGGCTATCAGTCTGATTTTCAGGCTGACAGCACTGCATTTGTTCTGATACTGTGAATTGATGATTTTTGTTGGTACATGTAACTGTTATGCTCATTTTCTTGCTGTCAAGAAATGGAGAGGGCTACCGGCCGGGTATTTGCTCTCACAGTTGTTATTCTTGCCATTTGTGGGCTGCAACTACATTGCAATATGACGCTCAAGAACACTGCAGCTGAAGATTGTTCCAATGAAATCTGTCCATAAAACTGGGCCATCTTTTCATGACATTGGCCCGAGTTTATGCTGTTTGCTAAGTCCTTAAATATTCTGTGTCATGGGTACAACCAGCTGTGGGTGCTACTGTTTGTGATGGTGGTGACTGTGGCATTTAAAGGTACTTAGTTTCCACCCTACTGGAAAGGACATTTTTCATTTGTGTCATTTAGCAAATTCTATTGTGCTCTGAAATTCTGTAAATAACTTACCGTTAAAAGGAGAAAACTTTGTGTAACATTGAAAACCGGTGTACTGTGAAAAAAAAAAAAGAGCCCAACAGAACCACCTGTTGATGTAAATTTTTCCTCTCTATTAAATGAGAAATACAGCCTGTTCCTGCCAATTTTGTGTTTTCTTTCTGTTAATGAAATAGTGGAACAAAATTTTAAGCTATGTTGTTACAAAATTTTCGCACAATGTGATGCATATGTCACTGGTTGATTTTTTACGGGCCACAACTAGAGAAGTCCCTGCCCAATAAATCCACAGATAAGAAAGTTTCAAATTGTATGCATTTAGAAATGATAAGAGTGATGCAATGCTCAAGTTTGGTGAAATACTGCACAGCATTTCATTGTTTTCAGTGGTGTTACAGCTCTGCCAAATCTCCCAGGTGGTCGAAATTTCCAGAGCCCTCCACTACAGCGTCTCTCATAATCATATGGTGGTTTCGGAAGTTAAACCCCACATATCAATCATCAGCTATGCTAATTGGGCCTAATCGTACTTAGAGCAGTCGTTTACGGTTATTTGCTTCAAAGTAGCATTTTAATGAAAAATTGTGCTGAGTATGCATTAAGCAAGCACAAGAGCTTTCTATAAACCAAAAGCTAAGACTCACTATGATCACGAAGGTGAACCAAGTGGCTGTAGCCATGGGTATAGCTGATGCTTAAGCCCCGTTAATGAGTGTGAAAAGGCTTTAGCTGTTGATGTTGATCCTCCATTGCTGTTTTTATTTTCCATACCTCTGTCCTGGCTGTTCAGCATCAATTAACTTGCCTTTCCTCCGGATAAATCTGGTTTTACCAGTGTTCCTAAAGTATGCTTATTCCCTTTCAGACAGTGTCATCTTACATTTCATTTGTTCCATTAGCGAGGAGTTGCCGGTGGCACATGACCAATGACTTATTTAGTTAGGTACATGCATTAGTACAGACCACTGTACCGACGAGAGACCCTCTTGTCAGCATGGAACCAGTCGCAGTTTGTCCTCAAGAGCAATAAACTAATGCGATAGCAACAATTTGTAATGTCATACGAAGAATGTCTTGCAGCTAACCCCTTTAGCATTCAACCTGGTGTAACCATGGGTGTCCGGAAGGTGGGGGTAAGGGGGGGGTCGAATGTTTTTGTTAGAATTTCAGATATTTTGCTATGCAGTAGCAATAAGCTACACAGCTCCATATTAGCGCTCTCAGGTCACGCATATCTGTGTGAAACGGCATTCAAGATTACCAGCCAACTTTGCACGTTGAACGCTGCTTAACGGCAGTTAAAGGAAAGGTGGATTCCTAACCCCCTTCCCCTGCATATGGATGCACTGCAAGAAGTGCTTCGGGTGACCTTGGGTGTAAAACAAAATGCTGGCGTGAAGAAACACGAGCAATGCAGCGAGCAATGAAGTTACCTTCATGCAGTCTATCGCCTCATCTAACACTGCAGAACGCAGCAAACAAAGAAATTGTCTCCTGCTGACTCGTCAAGATGGTGCGCGTGCAACTGCGACCGGCTGTACTTACACATGAATCTATCCATTTGAGCAGTGATCATCGGCTGCCACCCTCCAATGCTTTTACTCGCACATAGAACAGGCGAGATGCGTGGCAATGCTATTGCAACTTGGACTAGATACGAAACCTTTTAGTGACAGCATAAATGCGCCTGGACTGTCTGTATATTTGACACACTGCTAAAGCCTAAGTTGGCTTTGCCGCAGAAATATTTTCCTTACACAAACTTATCTGCGCAGGCTACTTTTCTCGCCCAAAGCCCGTTCACCCCTGTACGTTCAATTCAATAAGCTTATTTAATTTTCAATAATTCTGACTGTTCATTGGCCTATATCCTAAGTAAACTTACGCTTCGATATCATATGTATCCGCTATAACTCAATTTATTTCGTACCAGTTTGATTTTGAACAGTGGAGCTTGTCAAGCTTTTCGTTGTGCCTGGTAGTGCGAAGAAAAACGATCACCATGAACTGGTACGTGCTCACTTTGTCCTCTACAACTTATGATTCGCTCCCAAAGATGCGTAATCCGATTTGTCTGCTGTGGAATGCAACAACTACGATGAGCGAGTCTGTTGCATGACTAATATTACGTGCCATCACGTAATAACTACCCTCGGAGCTAAAATAATGGCACAAGATCACGTGACGAAATCAAGTGACACTCGCTGGACTAACATGTAACTAGTCACATGGCTAAAATAACTGCTAGCATGGGCTTACATGTATAAAAATCCCGCAACTAAAGATCACGTAACGTTTTAGTCGCATGGCAAAACGACTATTAGTCACGTGACTAAAATCAGTAACAGTAGCAACTAGTCATGTGATTGGGATCGCGCAACATTGCGTAATTGCTAGACTCGCTTTATGTTGCGCCATAAACCACATTAGTCACGTAACTAAATGACGCAACACAGAATACCTAGTCACTTGACATATGTTCACACCGAAACCATGTTAAAGCTTAAGACAACGGAACAGCTAGTCACGTGACTAAAATCGCGTAACCAGTAACGTGGCATGTTCTCATGAAAAAACATAACGGCTAGTCAGTTGACTAAAATCGCATCACTAACAGCCAGCCACGTGACATGTTAACACCATAAACCACGCAGCTAGTCGTACGTGTTACTAAAATCACGTCATGTCGCGTAACAGCTAGTCACGTGACATGTTTCCGCCAAAACCACGTGCGTAGGTTGGGGAACTCCCCGAAACCAGAGAAAAATAACCAAGTCTAGCCATGCTCACGACTGCTAGCAAAAACTTGGTATTTCTAGCAAAAGGTTGACATAACTTCACTGGACTAAACACTAGATTCGCTGTTGGTTTGCGGTGCACTTTTTTTTTTTCTAAGCATTTTGCTCGAGCGCGAGTTAGTACCGGAAGAACGTGCTCGAGTAAACAACTCGCAACTGCTTGGAAGAAAAACATGAGAAGTGATGAGAAGAGCGTCAATCGGTGATCGTGCCGGTAAAAGAAAAGCTGGTCCGCTGGCAGAAGCCATACAGGAGCAGAGTGGCCACTGGCGCTTGCTTGTGGGACAAGGCCAGCGACTTTCGGTGGCTTCACACCCGCGCTCTCAAAGCGCAATCCAGCTCCTTCTAGTCAAGATCGGTGGTTGTGGCAGGAAAGTGAACCTGATTCCCCGAACTTAGCAGTGCAACGACTCAGTCGGTGACCTACCGCGACGCACTCGCACAAATGGGCTATTTCTACTGCCCGCCACTCAGAAATTTTTCTTCGGTGACTGTAAAACTTAAATTTTTAGTTCACTTTATGAGAATACTGCACCTTGAACGTTTTTTAAAATAATTTATTCGTAAATATTTCTGTGTATTCAACACTGATTAGATGCTATTACACATCATTGTATTGGATGTGCATTGTCAATTTATATGAAAGGGAACATGGGAGGGTGTGGTCCGCGCACTGCAACTGCTGCTGGCAGTGCGTTCAAATGGCAGTGAGAGCAACCATGGTCCCTTCTCGCGCCATCTCGCGGCGAGCAAGACAAGCAGTCATTGATAAGATTGGAACCCCTTCCTCCTTCAAGGTGATTACGCAAGAAGCCTGGTAATCGCCTTGAAGTAGGCCTTGTAATCTTGCCTGCGATTCCATATTATCAATGACTGCTTGTTTTGCTCGCCGTGAGCGGACACGAAAAGAGACTGTGCTTGCTCTCGCTCTCGCTTGAACGCGCTGCGGGCAGCCGCCGGAGCGCGCAGGCCGCGCGCTCCCGTGCTCCCTTACATAAAAATTCACAGTGTACACTGGATTCTCACTGATACGTTTTTCACGAGAACCGGTAAATAAAACGCAGTGATCCCACTCCTGTGCCAAACGCGCCAAAGTGCGCCAAATCAAATATACTGCGCCATCCAAACAATATCAACGAAAACTGCGCCAAACTGCGCCAAAGTCGGACGTGGAAGCGTCGTCTATCGCCGGCAATATCCACGTCGGTGCGTCAAATCACGTGCACTTTTTTTCTCGGGGCCACCAAAGTCAAAGTTACGTACCAAGAGTTATTCCGCTTAATAAACAGTGGTCGCGCGTGCGTCCTACATAATCCACAATGCTATGTTTGGTGCCGACGCGACTTTTGTTGTGCAAATCCGCTTAACGGCGAAACGCCCGCAGGGGCTCGTGACGTATAGTCGAATTGGTAGCATGGAACTGTAACGGCGATAGATGACGCTTCATCGGCGGCGCGGCGGCTCATCGGTGGACGTCGTTCGTTCCAGGAACGCTGCTGCTGATAGCTCGTTTGAAGAGTTGCGCAGCACGCAATTAAAGGGATTTTCACTAATAACTTCACGCCGCCAGAATATCCGTCAAGTCTACTTCTGGACGTCGCGATCTAATTTTCTGGGCTTCACGTCCACAGAAGAACACGTGAACGATGGGAACGCGTTGACATGTTTTTCTCTAATATACTTTATTCCTGGAAATTCATTCAGGAAAGCTTTTTCGTAATGCCTTCCTGCAGCACATCCGCGTTTGTAATCGCTGTTGTGGTAAAAGCCCCCCAAAGACCCTGCTTCTGACTCGATATTGCTATAGGATCGGAATACAAAAATTTCCGCGTGCTTTTTTTAAAAATGTTATCTCAATAATAAAAGCATGCGTCCTGGTAATTATTATTATTATTATTAGTATTATTAAGTAATAGCAGTATCTCTCTAATAATGTGACTTGGAAGCCCCCCCCCCCCCCCCACCACTTGGACTCGATCATCGTCGTTTTTAAGTAGCCTCCAAGAATAGGTAATTTTCTGAACAGCACGCAGACGTTATGCCACGAAACGGAATCTGTGGTTGAGCACAAAAGAGCGTAGGAAGCAGTCTTTGTAAGCGAACATAACATTTAGGGAATATTTAGCGTTAGTCAACTCTTATTTCAAAAAACTCTATGCGGATGGCTACTTTGGAAATGTATGCAGCGATAGGCTGAGGGACACAACGCGTCGTCAATAAAAGACAAAGGAATGAAGTACTCGGGGCAACTTGTGCACTCGTTTTCATAGCCATGTTCACTTACACAAGCATTTAGATTGATGAACGTTGGAGAAAGCTTCGCTTCACTTCGACATGAGCGTTGGATC